GGGGGCTGCCATCCTGCTGGTCCCCATCCTCGCAGTGGGGACTCAGGAGGCAGCAGAGGGAGGAATCGAGAAGCTGGGAGCTGCTCCAAGGCAGAAGGGGCTGCCGAAGAGTGAGTGAGCTGGGGTGGAGTTAGATGGCATAGGTGACCTTTGAGCTTCCTCTGGACCTCAGGGCCCGAGATCCCGTGATGAGTTCTGGACATTTCCCAGATCTGGACCTCTGCCCAGAACGCTGGGTTATTCGTTCCCTCCACAGACAAGTGGGGGCCCTCTTGGTGCCAGGCCCTGTGTGGGAGGCAGGGTGAAAATGAGGGCCTCGCTACCCCTCCTTGGGGACACGCCCTCCCTGGGGCTCTCTGAAGGGCCTGCGGCTGATGGGAGTGTGAGTGTGATGGGGGTGGGGGCAGAGAGGCAGCAGCTCTGCTCCGTGATGGGGCAGGACCCTCAGAGCTGCCCCACGCAGGGGCGGGAGGGCTCTGGGAAGGTTCCCTGGGGGGCGGGCTCAGGTCCCCTCTCCCAGCAGTGTGTGGCCCCGGGCTTGCTCAAGGAGGATTCCAGGAACGGCTCCCGCCCCAATAAATTTAGACTTCTCCGAAGGGTTTGGGGCTGAGCCCGCTGCAGCAGCTGTCCCCAGGCCTGGCCGGAGGCAGCTGGCTTTGCAGCTCGAGCAGCAGGGTGGGCTCTGTGTCTTGGGCGTGGGGTCACTGAGCTTGATGAGACCGTTCACCTGGACGGATGAGAAACAGGTCGGTGTTGGAGCGGCTCACCCCAGAGGTCCTTGTTACCGAGAGAGCCAGGGCTGGAATGAGCAGCGTTCTCTGCAAAACTCAGCCCCAACAGCTCCCCTGCTTCCTGGCTGTGCAGCTGGGGCAAGTCCCTCGGCCTCTCTGAGCCACTGTTTCATCCATATGATGCGGCTGACGTGTCTTGTCCACAATTTGTGGTGTCTGGCACAGGTGTCTCCTGCAAGGGGACAGACCCTCACGGGAGACTGGTGGGGCACTGAGTGCCCAGAGGCGCCTTTCAGGGGGACGCTGCTGGAATTGGGGACAAAGAGCACTGGAGCGGGGGTGCCGGCCAGCGGCCGGGGCCACCTTGGTGCTGGGCGGCAGCACAGGGGCAGCAGCTCTGTTCTGGGAGCTTGTGCCACTGGCTCCCTGAGCTGGAGGCAGGCCGCCTAGCTTGGCCCGGGTTGTGTCTGTGGGCAGGGCTCCCGTGGGATCCTCCTGGTCTTGTGGTCCCCTGGTCCTGGCCTCCCCTGCCTGCTCTCCCAGCTTGAGGATGGGAGGGCAGGAGGGTCACAGGCATGGCCGACACTTTCTGGGTGTGTTGTGGGGGCAGAGCTTGGGAGGGGGCCGTGTCCTCTGCTGGGCCCCGGGCCACCTCCCCTGGCTGCCTCTGTGGTGCTGACCGCTGACTGCAGGGGTCAGTGGCTGTCTGGGAGCTGGGCGCAGAGCAGGGTTCCCAGCGAGGAGAGGCCTCCGGGGACTGTGTGCTGGGGGTCCCCCTGCCCCCTCCCTGCTTCCCAGGGCCTCCCTGCTGTCAGGACAGGTACTGCGGCCACCGTGATGTCAGCCGGCTCTGGGCCTCACAGTCAGGGAGCAAAGCCAGGACCCTGGGGAGGGCTTCTCCTGGGAGTGTCACCGAGGGCCTCCTAGGGAGGGGACATCGGCCCTGAGCCTTGCAGAACCCGAGCACATGGAGTCCTCCCTGAGTGAACCCTGCCTCCCCACTGACCCTGTGTGGGCTCCCAGTCCTGGTGCCTCGGCTTCCGCGTGGCACACTGGGTGGGTGGGGACCGACATCGCCCTCCTCTCCCACGCGCAGTGGGGCGTCAGTGAGGACAGCAGCGCCTGGCACGCAGTAGGTGCTCAGGCGGTGTGTGCTGGGGGCGGTTCTGAGCCTCGGGCAGGAGTCTGAGCAGGCAGACGTCAGGGCCGGGCAAGGCGGGGACCCTCCTCCCGGGGGTGTCAGCCGCGTTAAGCCACCTGGCCACTGGCACCTCCCTTTCCATTTTAGAAGCGGGGCCTGTGCTGAGGTTCTCACGGGAGCGCGGCCGGCGCAGAGCTTCTCCGGGCCCAGCACGGAGTCCCCGCGCGGCCCCCCGGCGGTGG